ACGTATAGTGACATATTGATGTAGTATAAGTTTGAAGGAAGATCACAGAGATGTAAGACAAGAAGAAGGAATGAATCAGAATAGTCGTGATTGTTTATTGATAAGAGAACTTTGTCTCTTATATATAGTAAGTAGTAGTGGTGAATTAGTGGCGGTATAAGCGTCACTCCTAATCGTCACCGTTAAGGGTTCCCAAGCGTTACAGTCATTGCATAGAGTGAGGCAACGGTCATCACCATATCTAAGCATTGTATAGCTTACTTGTTTATACACTGCTTGTTACTAGACCCCATCCTGACCGTCTGGGTCCTATTACAAATGTCATACATTACCAATGTCTAACAACAAACACCAACATATTAGAAAGTTTAAATTTATTCAAAACCAAAATCATTGACAAATCATCAATCCAAATCCAAACCCAGTTCTTCGATTTCCAAACCATGCTTTATCATAAAGTTTTTCAATTGTTTTCTGATACTGTTTACTCTATACCTTGCCTTTTTATACTCTTGTTTTGCTTTCTTTTCAGTGTCTGGATCGTACTTTGATACAAATATATCTTCCTTTTTTCCCAACACTGACCATTGTTTGTATCCAAAAGCCATAGATTTATGATAGTCTTTGAGTTTTTTCTTTCGTAATTCTTTAGACGCTTCAAGATTTTTCTTTATATCATCAAGGATTATCTGATCCTTTTTGCTTAATTTAGTAACTTGATTCGACCCAGTATTAGCAGGCTCGACTTTGTTCATTGGTTGTTGCTGGTTTTGGTTGGAAGTACTTGGGCTGGGCTGATCAATTGGTTGTGTTTGACCTCGTTTGGCAGTGCTCGGTCCAGCTACATCTGTTGGTTGTTGTTGGTCTTGGTCGGAAGTGGTTAAATCAATCATGCGCTTTCGGCCTTGTTTGAGAATATCTGGACCAAATACAATCACAGTCGGTCGCTGGTTTGGACCGGGAGTATTTGGATTGAGTTGATCCACTGCTGCTGTTGGATTCGGTTGGAAGC